GTTTGAGTTCAGGACTATTGGTGGGAAATTTAGAATTATTGTAGAAGTAGCCCAGAATAGATCATGGAAACAGAAGAACCATTTTTTAGGTAATGAATCTGTGTTCAGTCCTGCTCTGCATAAAACCTTCCTCTACGTCACAGAGACCTCCTCCAAACTTCCCCTTTTTCATGTAGTGACATACCAAAGAGCTTAACTAAGACAACCAAGTCCTCATGTGATTAAGGTTCCCCCTGTATTCATGGAAAACACATGGGGATTTTGGTTTTCTGTTTGTTTATTTAACATTTCCTTCTTATCCTTTTCAAGCTGAAAAGTCCAAAAACCTCTGTGGTCTACCACTGTCATCTGAGAGTTCTTCCACCAGCTCTTAGACAGCTTCATGCTGCCTTATCTGTTCCTCTGTAGAATCACAGGGACAAGACGAGTAACCAAGAAAATCCAAAAAAGTAAGGAAAATTCCAAGCATGTGTTCAAGTCTTCATTGAGTTAACCTGATGGGAATTTCACTGTAGTGAAAGAATGAAGGCTTCCCCAAGACTGCTCTGGGATGAATTACATTCTATCCCTCACCATGAGAACTGTGCTTTTCTTTAGAAATAACTTGCATTACAGCAGTCTCTTTGCTTAAAATCTTCCAATGGCTCCTGACTTCCACAAGGGTAACACTCAAGTCATTACAGTTTGACATGCATGGTCCTTCACAATCTATCCCTAGCCTACTTCTAACATTATCTTTCAGTCATCTGCTGTATCATTGTCCCTTCTAGATCCTAGTTACCCCACAGGTCCCCAAAAAGCTGTGTGTATTTCATATCTATGCCTTTTCTTACAATGGTCCTCTGCCAAACGTTCTGTGTCAGTTTGGAAGTACTTGGTACACATTTGGGACTTACAAAGATTTACTAAACAATAAAAGTGTAGACAAACAGAGACATCTAAAAACCAACTTTATATCTTTCATAGTTCAACCTAAAAGTGATTCCACCAGGCCAAGGAAGATAGGTATCAATGAGGACAATCTGATTTTTTTTAATTATCATACATTGTTTTCACATTTCAGTTTTTCAGTTCTTCTATATTTAATGTAGAAATGTTTTCCTTTTCTCCTAAAAACATATTCTTAAATCCATCTTCAACAGATGGCATTCTAGAATCAAGAAAGTGGCAATGGGTTCATCAGGGTCTGTGGCTGTACAGCTTGTATCAGCTCTATTTAGTCCCTCCTTTCCTAAGCACTGTGCTTTCCTCAGGGCCCTCACCTTGAAGCTCATTGTCATGCAAGATGGTAGAGACAGAAAATATAATTCCATTCAAGAGGAGTTGATCAACATACAGGGAAGACAACTTCATAATGAGTCAAGGACAAGTGAGATTGACACGGATTCTGTCCTTGAAATGTTTTAAGTAACCTTGTGAAAGCCATTAACCTTCTCTACAATAGTTCCCTAGCATCAATGTCAGAAACAGAACACTCCACGGGATAGTCCACGATCTACCACAGCTGGGGCTTTTCTAACTATTATAAAGGTCAAATCTGATCTGTTCTCTGAAACTACTCTTACTTCCTCTTTCTCCCTTCCTTTGGAAATCATTTAAATAAGGCACTAGTCTTATGACGCCTGGCTGTCCTCACCCCCGCACCATCACCCAGAGATGACACTAGATATCCTCTTTCACTTTGCATCACCATAGGTTGTCAGGTATCCTAGCACATTACAAGATGGCTCTGCATCTGTTAGATAGGAGACCACTCATCATTATTACTACTGGAGGATATCAACCATGCTCAAAGCAGCCCATCCAGAGATGTTTTCTCTCTCCAAGTCAGGTGAAATTTCATTAAAGAGAGTGTGGACAGCGGCACTCCACATGAAGCACAGGCATTTTGCATGGTCTTACTACTGACAGGCATGACACAGTGCTATGCCCTCTTCTACCAGAATTTAAATAAAAGTCACAATCAGTGGAAGAAGTGTGATGGATGAAAGTCTATTTCCCAAAAGACCTCTCCCAAAAACATAATTGATTACAACTTTGAATTAAACTGTACTATGATCCCAAAGGATATAATTTATTAATTTTTCTATTTCTCAATCATCCATCCTGCTAAAAAAGTCCAAGAGAGGAAGGGATAAGAGGACCCTTTGTGGATCCAGGTAGGAGCAAGGAAGAGCTGGGCTAACAGACATTGGACTAATGCCATTCACTTTTGCCTTGCCTTTGACACCCTGTGCATGTCTATATGGGTTCCCTCCTCCCCCACTGCATCTTTGAAACAGAGAAAATAAAGTGGACACTGTTCCTCCCCAGCTCATTAGTGTTTGTAATATTACAAACACTAACTGGATGCCATCTGCTTGGAGTTCTGGGTAAAAGGCAAATGATTGAAAGAAAATATGGTTTGGATGGGCTCTTTGCTAATCACAAGTCATCAGTGCCAATTAGACAATGTCAGGATGCTCTGTGGTGCCTGGGGATGAGATGGTAAATGGAATTTTAAGTCGTGAGTCATTACAACCATCATTGGGGTGTAGAGAAGGCCTGCAAGAACAGGACTCTATATGGCAGACGTGAAACCCCAGTCCGAGGGACTCCACTTCATTTGTCAGGCACACAGTCTGCTCCTGTGTAGGAGAAATAGGCTTTACAAAGGCAGGACAGTGACATGAATGGCGATGAGACGAACTTGGTGTCAGGGTTAAATTCCCCACTACATGACTTCCTCTCCACTTCACTGAACACTCTATAAGAAACTGTGGGAAAAATGACACAATGCTTAATCTGAGCAATGAAATACATTCATTGACCTTATTTCCAGAATATTCTACCCATTTTGTTGTATGATTAATGAAGAAGTATAATTATTGGGCTGGAAAGTAACAATTATTTACAGACTATGCTGAGACTTATTAAAAAGTACTGGGAAAAAATGATACACGTCAATATCAAGGTATCTGGTTAGTTGATTGACACAACACAGATCTATCTACCAATCTCATGGACCAACAAGAAAAAAAAAAAGAGAATGCCTAAAAGCTGCTTTTCTTTGGGACAGAATTTGGAGAGACCTTCAGGGCAAATCCTGCAAGAACTGTGTCCAAAACACAAGAACATACATTATAGAGTTACATCATCGGCTGACATCCAAGGAGAAGTCAAAGGTTAATTGCTATGGTTTACTGAACCATTCCAAACGACCCTGTGCAAGAAGATTTAACTTGACAACTGTTTGAACTTTATAGTCTGAAATTTCATCTACTTGTTTCATGAGGACTTTTTAATTACTCCCCTGGGGATATTAATAATGTTTTCTTCTTTTAATTACTCTCTGGAAGGGATAGTGGTTTCATGTTTTCTTTCTCCTTTGAGATAACTAAGTGTATGCTTGGTTTGCCCAGGGACACTTTTATTTTCTCTACCTTAAGTAATTAAGGTAGAAAACAGAGCTGTCAGGGTTGACTTCTAACAACCCAAGAGCTGGAATCAGACTACTTAGTTGAAAGGCCGCCTCCACTATTTGGCCAGCTGTGTAACACTGAGCAGGTGATTTCCCTCCCCTGGGCTGTTTCTTACCTGTAAAGCAGGAACAGTAATAATACTGATCGCCTAAGTCCAGCACCGGAAAGGCAGAAATGGATAATGTATGCAATTATTTATTTCAGAGCCTGACATACAGTGATTACTCAAATATTGGCTTTATAGTATTTTTAAGTGCTATTGTTTTGACTATGTGAGCAATTTTGGAATTGTTTTCTCTGAGTCCACAGTGAAATAAGGTAGAAATGAAGCAAAATACTAACATCCCACTACACTATTCAGCCCCAAGGCAGCACCATCACCACTGTTCATCAGTCATGGCGCTAGCTGGGGCTCATCAAGCACCTTTGCAATTAACAGGGCAAGCACTGGTGTCTGCCAGAATGCTGACAATCCAGTTAAGAGAGCAAACATACACACACACACACACACACACACACACACACTCATACACACGATGACTCCTATGCCGCTTTGCCCTGTAAAATGACCAGGCACGTGCAGGTTTGTATAGGATCTTTGACGGTGGACAGAAGAAAGCCTCGCATTTTGTAGAAAGCTACAAACGTCTAGAAATTTCCTCCAAGATAAGACAACAAATCAGGGAGAGCCTCAGAGTGGGCTATCACATTCATTTGACTTAAAATGGATTTGTCCTGTGACAGTAACCACCAGTAAAGAAGGACAGCAGAGGACCGCTACTATCAAACCTTCTGCTGGGCTTTAAAATGGCCAGCATTTTAAATCTTAGAATCTTAGACTGTTCTAGTAGAAAATGTAACCTTAAAACAAGCCTTCTGCATCTCAGTTCTCCCACTGTAGAGACAGCGACAAGTTATTACGCATGCTCAGGCCTCTAGCTCATGAACAACCCCCCGCCCCACCATCCTCCTCTCCCCTTCCCATAAGGATGCCCTCCCGGCTGGACAGAGGAAGAAGCCGGGGTGAGGGAAGAGACTGAGAACATGCCAGAAAGGGGAGGACTACTGATAAATGCCTCCTATGTGTGAGCCATCCTAAATCACCTTAAGGATGTCCTCGTCCTTCCCCTCAAATTGCCCCCTCCCTCTCTCATGTTCTGTGGGCATCACGGTCAAAAGACACAAAAAAACAGAAGTCTGAGGACAGTCCACCCCTCCACTGCCCAAAAAACAGGCCCTTGTTGCTTTCATCCTGGCCTCCTGGCTACCACCACAGGTGGCCTCCCGAATTAATCCAACCCAGAGCTGTCTGCCCTTCCAAAACGTCATATTGGGGTCATTCATCCCAAGCCACCTTTGAGGTCTAGCGGGAACAAACAGCTGGATTCGGGTGGGGCGCGGATGGGAGAGGTGTGTCAGAACGGCTGGTACCGCACCCAGACTCCGGGCCACACTGGGTCGCCAGCCTCAGGGAGCTAGCTGGTGCTGCTGCTCCGACAAGGCCTCGCAAACCCCGGCCAGCGGCATCGCCGAGCTTACCTTGGCCCAGGAGACAGTGTAAGAGACCTGAGGGTCCCGGGGGGCGGTGCAGGGCAGGTCCACAGTCTGGGAACAAGCCACCTTCACGTCCTGCGTCGCGAGCGCCAGGATGCAGGCTGCAAGAGAAAGGGAGAGAGTGCGCCGTGAGCCGGCGACCTAAGGGGGTGCCGCGGCCATGCGGGGGGACAGGCTGGGGGACAGGCGACCGCGGGCCCTACCGCAGTTCAGGAGCAGGAGCTGGAGGCCGCGCGACATGGCTGGAGTGCTGCGCCGCCGCCTCGGGGCTGCCGGCCTCTGGCGCGCTCGCGCCGCGCCACCCTCTTGTACCCCGCGGGCTCGGGGACTTCCCCGTGCGCCGGCCCCGGGGAATCCCCGCCGGCTGCGGAAGCGGGCGCGCCTTCTCTGTCCAGCGGCAGCCCGGGCGCCCCCGTCCCCGCCCCCGGCGCCCCCGCCCCCACGCGCGCGTCCCCGCCCCCCGCGCGCGCCCCGGCCGGGCGCCCCAAGTTAGCGTCGCTGCGGCGGCGGCTGAGCAGCGGCGACAACAAGCTCCGCGTAACGGCCCGCGCTTGGGGCTTTGCAAACCGCGATCACACGCATGACAGCGGCCCGTTCACCCTCAAAACGAAGCCGGGAACCAAGCCATAAAGTGGGTTGTGCCCATTTTACAGAGACGAAACCAGATTGAGAGAGGGTGGGCTGCCTCCCCCACAGCAGAGCCTGTCCGCGGTGACGTCAGTGGCGAACCTAAGCCCTCACTCTTCTCCAGATTCTGTGATAAGCAAAGACTTGTTAGATTGATTTCCGTAGGAATGGCTTGAGACTGGTCCTGGGCTCCTGCCTTCCCTGGAGGAGAGGGGCTTCTCCACGCTGTTTAAATTATTTCAGCAAAAGAGAACTCCCCCTCCTAAAATAATAACTATACACGCACACATACATGCACAAAAAGTTTATTTGAAAAGGACAAAGAATGATGATCAGGTCACCTGTAATCCATTCAGAAACCTTTTCATTAATATTTTGGCATATTGGCTTCAGTGCATTGGTAGGTATTTTTAATGATTTATTCTTCCTAGTATTTGTACCCTATTTGTACTATTTTAGTTTAATATTTTGCAAACGGTTCCACAACATTAAAAATTTCAGCAGCATCTTTTAGGTGGCTGTGTAATAATCCATTGCCCACTAGAGCCACAAATTAAAAGCAATTAGATTGCCTTGGGCATTCATGTTGCATCTTTGGTTATTAATATTACAAAAAGCAGTGACTCCTATGATGTGCCTTAGTGTAGATAAACCTTTGCTTTTAGATTGTCTGTTAGATGGAATAAATGCCTGGAGGCCATTGTGCTAGGCTAAGAAGGAATTTCCAATTTTGTTAGGTATTGCCATAGTTACCTCCAAGGCACTGTCTTGGACCTGTATTCCCATCTGCAACTTATGAGCATGCCAATCTCCCACCACTCCTGCCAACACAACTGTTACCTTTGTTCATACAAGAGGTTCAAGTGGTTCAAGTGGTGGAGCACCTACATAGCAAGAGTGAGGCCCTGAGTTCAAAACCCAGTACTACCAAAAACAAAAGGCGGGAGTGGTGAATACCAAGAAAGGCACTGTGAGGATTTGATTTGGACATGGCTGTACTAATTGACAGTTACATTAGTTATATGTGTGTGTCTTTTCCTCATAATCCTCACCAAATTACATTTTTAGTTAGGAAATGTTTAGGCATACAAAAATAAGTACAGAAGAAAATAGAATTGTGCATAGTAGCATACAACTTTTCCTGAGAAATAAAACATTACTAATATTTTTGAAATCCTCTATATGCTCTCTTCTAGACCCCACACTTGGCCGTCTATGCTTCCTTCCAGTTTCTCTCCAATATAAACTGTTTCAGGGAAACTGAGGCTGTCCAACCCCTCTGGCTCAGCAACGCACCGCAGTCCTGCATATCTGCCCTCCAGAGTGCATCCACTGGCCCTCCCCTCAGCAGATCTCAGCACAGCAGATTGGTTTTCATTTTTGCCTCTCTAATGAGTGTGAATTGTTTGGTTCTTTCTGCTTCATTTGCATCACATTGGTTACACTGTTCTCAAGATGCTGGGTCCCCATTCATATTCTTTGGCTTTTTCCACTAGAGCTGTTTATAAATTCTGGACCAAATCCTTTCTTGGTTATGCTCATGCCAAATTCCTCCTCCAAGCTTAAGATCTGTATTTTCTGCTTTAAGATATCTTTAATGTACAAAAGAGGTTTAAAATGACATTTTAATGTAGTCAATGTATCAGTCTTTTTATGTATGGTTTGTGCTTCTGCTATGGTGTAACAAATTTTTCCTACCCTGAGATCCTAAAAATATTCTCCTTCATTTTCTTCCAAATTTTTATATTTCGGTGTTTAATCCATTTAAATATGGTTGGATGTAGTCGTCTAACTTATTGCTTCCATATGGATAGCCAATAGTTCCAAGGCTGCTTCTAAAAGTCCTTTCTCCACTGATTTGAAATGACATCTCTGCTATATACAAATTTCCATATATGAGTAGGCTCATATATGTATTCTGTCTCTCCCTGTGCTATTATCACACTTTCTTCTAACTAGGACTTAATTAAGTCTTGCTATGGTATATGTGAAAATAGAAAAATGAAACCTGTTGAAATTGTTCTAAAAAGGGAAAGGGGGCAAGAGGGAGAATGATGGAGGGGGTAAATCCAATTAAGATATATTTTAAACACATATGTACATATCACAATATGTCTGCTGTACAACTACTATATGCTAACAAAATCATTTTTAAAAAGCCTTGCTGTGGTGAAATGAACTTCCTCTTCAAAATTGTCCTCATGATGGGCTGGGGGCATAACTCAAGTGGTAGAGTGCTTGCCTAGCAAGTGTGAGGCCCTGAGTTCAAACTCCAGTAATGCAAAATTGTCCTAGTGTTCTTGTTTCTTTACTCTAACCTTATACAAATTAGAATCAACTTGAGAACCCCCCCAAAAAAACCTAGTTTCAGCCAGGTGCAGCAGTTCAGTCCTGTAATCCTAGCTAATCAGGAAGCAGAGATCAGGAAGATCGAGGTTTGAAGCCAGTCCCAGGCAAATACAATTTTCAAGACCCTGTCTTGAAAATACCCATCACAAAAAAAGGACTGAAGGAGTGGCTCAAGAGGTACAGTGCCAGCCTAACAAATGTGAGGCCCAGAGTTCAAACCCCAATACCACTACCAAAAAAAAAGAAAACACAAACTGGTTTTAATTTTAATAAAAATACATTTAAGTTGTAAAACTAACATATTTAGAAATCAGTTCCACAAATCCATCAATATTGTCTATCTTTCTATTTGTCTTCAAGGATTTTAAAATTTCACACATAATGGTTTTACATATCTTTTGATAGATTAATGCCTAATTACCTTTATATTTTGGATTGCTACTTTCATATACATATTTTCTAAACTGCTTTTTTTTCTAGCTGTGCAATGAAATGAAATTTACTTTCTTATTACCATTAATAACATCACCTTAGACTCCATGCTAAGGCTCTTCTCTAATCATGAATTATTTAAAGGGTTTTAGGAGGGGACAAGGGTGTCTTTTAAGCAAAAAAGAATATCCAGGGAAAAATGAATCACTAAAGGAAGGTTAAAAAGTAACAATTCAGGGCCAGGAATGTGGCTCAAGTGGTCGACATCTTTTCCAATACATGGTTTGGATTTCATTGTTGCTACTGGTGTCTAACAGTTGAGAATGCTCAAGTATGTTAGACTCCTTATTGCACAAGAATTGCTTCCTGGCCTTAGGTGTGATCTTTTGGTAAGTGCCTGGGTGCATTCTTACAAAGAGTCTACATTCTCTATATAAGTCTTTTTGATATATTTGCTCATTGTGTTTGCCAGATCCTCTATGTTCTTTCTTTTTGTCATTATAAGTTATCAATTACTGAAAGAGATGTATGTCCCTTTGTGACTACAGACTTACATATTTATCTTTGAAATTCTGCTTTTTTTTTTTTTGCTTCATATGATTTGATGCTATGTTTTAGGGGCCTGCAAGTTATACCTTTCCAGAGAGAATTCTTGGTTTTTTTCTTTTTTTCATTTCTTTGGGCAGTACTAGGATTTGAACTAAGGAGATGGTCGACCACTTAAGCCACATTCCCAGCCCTGACTTGTTACTTTTTAATCTTCGTTTAGTGACTCATTTTCCCCTTAATATTCTTTTTTGCTTAAAAGACAGCCTTGTCCACTCTTAAAATAACCATCCTGCTTTCTTGGCCTGATAGTCTACTAATACTTGCCATATTTTATAGTCAACATGTGTTTGCCCTTACACTCTAAAGGTGTCCTTCTCTTTTAAGCCTATGTACATAGTTAATGCATCGTTTAATCAATAAACTGATATCTGTCTTCCTAACAGAGAGTTTACTTTTGCCTAGTCTCTAGATTCTGCTATATTCGGGTTTATTTCACTCATCCTCTTTCATGTTTTACACTAAACCTAATTTTTCTCTGCTTCCTTTTCCTTTCTTGCATGTGTTTTATTGACCATTTTTTATGTCCAGTGCTGCTCTCTTTACTGATTCAGAAGTCATACACACTATTCCTCTTAAATGATGATCTTTCCATATTTTAATAAGCAAACTTGCTTTCATAAATTCTGTCGATCACTGTTGCCACCTTCTCCCCAAAACACCTAAGCGCCTGAGTTCTGCCCCTCCTACACACTATTATGATCACTATCTTTGCTCCACCTTGCTTTTATACTCCCCAACTAGTCTTCTTTATGTATTAAATATCTGTTCAAATGTGTCTAATATAGTACAGCTCATTGCTCCTTTTTGCAGGGGGAGGGTCAATTTCTTCTGAAGTACATTCTTGAGAAAAATCTTTTAGCAAAGTCTGTTAGTGTTAGATGCCCTGAGTCTTTATCTGAAATATTTATTTTGCTCATATTCATGAATGTAGGTTACCTATAATACAAGATGGTGACTACTTTTGAGGCAGGTTAAGATAGGGAGAGACTGGGACTCTTATGACTTAATATTGTATGTTAGATTGAATCTCTCTCTCTCTCTCTCTCTCTCTCTCTCTCTCTCTCTCTCTCTCTCTCTTTCAACTGCAAATATATGCAGATTATTCAGGCCCTAGCCAGGGACAACTCTAGCCACCATCCTAGCCCAGGGACCACCCAAAACCCTCTCTACTCATGGATTATTGGTGATCTAGAACCAGCCATGCTTTGCCCCTCACACAGGCTAGAGCCACCTTTTAAAAACACTTGGTAAGAGAGAACTATTTCTCTCTCTCCTGCCTCATACCTGGCCCATCGTGGTCT